GCTAGCTGATACGGTACATGATGATTTACTGTAGCTATTTACTACTTGATCACATTAGTTCGAGATGTAAAATGTTACACTGCAGCTGGAGATTGTCATGGAGATTTGTTTGAAAATATAGTGACCATTTATAGTATCTGTGTAATAAATTCTTTACATATAATTGATAGCAATGGGCAAATTTGTGCCTAGACTAAGACAACTGTGGGCTAAGCGAGTGTAAAACTTTATCAGTAGAAAAGTACCCTTTTCAAATAAAACGTATATGTCTAATACATCACTTTAAATAAACCTTCGTGTTTTTTAAAGCAATTGTTCTACGAATGTGTGAAAACATTTAATATTATGTATACTGATTTTTTGTTTTTACTCCTTCACTTCATACATAATATAGGGGTTGGCTACCTGAACAGACCAAATGTATATTGTATAAAACATTGAGTATCTACATGTTACATAAAAGACAAATATAGTTAAATACGCATAGGCAACGAAAATATCACAATTAAATAATAAGTTGAACAATCGCCAAGTTTATATATATTTTTATTTAAAGAAGGATGACGTTTTGAGCTAGTTCTTCGTCAGATCATACAGTTTACAACAAAGACGCATGAGCAGAATTCAAAGAACTCGCGTGCGTAATATTTTGAATGTTGAGCGTGAAAATTACATCTATTACATAAAAATAACAAGTCATGAAAATATAAAACAGATAGCAATTAAAATTTAGACAAGGTAATTAAAATTTAAACAGAAAGTGGACATATATAAATCTACAGGAAAGAAAAGCGTTCATTTAAACCACATGGTTGTAGGGTCTATAGATTATAGATTAATCTCCTTTCCAGTCGTTCTCTTTTGTGAATGTCTGTTGGAGCAAAGCACTAATAAGTCCAAGAATCGAAAAGTCCTCTACTGTATGGTTGTCGATGGTGAAATGTTTGCCTATAGGTGAATCATCTTGGTTCTGCAGTTTAATATGGTTTAGATGTTCTCGTGCTCAATCACCAAGTCGGTGACCTGTTTGTCCAGTGTATATATTATTGCATCTATTGCAAATTATACAGTAAATGACGCATTCAGTGGTACACGTAAAGGACTGTCTTATCTCCTCGTATATGTGTGGTGCTGTGTATATATGAACAGGTGACACACCTGTTTCGTTTACAGGTGTGAGTGCCTGGAGTATCATTTAGTTTTTGTTTAAGGTTGCTATGCACCTGGATTTCACTTAGGTTTTTGTCATGTCTATAAGAAATAATTGGTGGATCCTTGAAAACAGATTTAGTGGTATGGTCTGAAGTAAGTATTGTGTAATTGTTTAGTATAATATATTTGATCTTATTGTTGGTCTGGTGGTTAACACAAGTGGAATACGATTGACGTGTTCTTTCTTGGTAGGGTTGAGTGTTCGCTCCTGAGTAGATGAGCTAGCTGCTTTGGTGGCTGTATTGTGGATGAGAGAATAAGGGTAGTGTCTTTCTTTTTAACACCATTTGTCATGAACTTACAGACACATAAAGGACACCACTTATGCCATTACTTTAATTAATAACACACATTTAACTGTAAACTGTATAAACTGACGAAGAGCGCTAGCTCGAAACGTCACCCTTCTTTAAATAAAAATATATAAAAGCTTGGCGATTGTTCACCCTATTATTTAATTTATCTACATGTTACATTCATCTACTGTTCATCTATTGACTGGTAATTTCTGTTTCACCCTGTAATTAAGCTTTTTAGAGGAACATCAGATGATTGTAAGAAAGCCAACTTAAAGAAGTAATGATAACAGTTTACACTAGAATTATGATGTTTTTAACTTATGTAAAAAATAGAAGAAACAAATACTTTTCAATACCCCTACGACCTTCGCAGTACCTTATTTAGTATTCTACAAAAGGTATGGGTGCAATATACCAAACCGTTTTCGTTGTAGGCTGGCAAGAGAATAATTATAATAAAATTACAAACTGGTCGTTTTGAGATAATTTTCTTTTCCTTGCAAGTATAACATGCGTGCTTTTTTGTTCCTTTTTATATATGTGTACAGCCTTAGCAGTCAATAGTAAAAGGTTTTAAAGTGTTGTCTGCATTGAATCTTTACTGTTTAAGGTGCTTTTTTGTCCGAACGTTCAATTAGGGTTTTGTGCAATTCCACTATCATGGTTCACGATAACCTATTTGCTTTATTATCCTTGTTTCTCCTTCACGGATAAGGAATTCCCACTTCTTGAAAGTAGCCAAACGTGTTTGTGATAGCATAAAACATACCCATTATAAACTCGAGGAATTTGCCTTAGGCCTAAAATTAACAGTATGAAACGGTACGCACAAATACGCAAAAAATCACACACATTTACCGATTTTACTGAAGTTATTAATTAGGCTTGATAATACAACTTCAAAAAGAAAAATTAACTATAATTTGCAGTTAGAATAATAAAACTAGATTATAAAATTAATCCTTTACATTCGTTGGGCATTTCACACAGAAATTATTAGGAGAAGTTTATTACTCCCAATCATTTTCAATTTATTAAAAATAGCATGACTAACACTATAAATTGTAAAATACGCTGTTAGTGATACACTGTTGCCTTCGATTTACAACAACAATATTTATACTATAATTTATTAATACTGTTACGTCTCCGTTCGTTCGTTAATTTTCCGTAAAAATTCTTTCCAAAGAAACTTTACAGATAAAAGTCCTTTCTTAAATAAAACTGGTTTATTCTTTCTGAATATAACTTTGCGATACAATTAATTTCAAAAGTCGCGCTATAACAAACGCTATAATTCTCAA